AGTATTGCGGGATTTGGCTAAAGCTTGAGGGAGAAAGGTGTAGATCCTATACAATCCACTGATCTAATTTCGTTGCACTTGAGAGGCTTGCTTGAACCCCGAAGGTTCAGTCCAGTTTAGACGACGAATAACCATGCAATTTGGTTGCTGTGGTTCGGTTGTCCATTTGATCGACTAATGAAGGGTAATTCAAAATAACTAAACATAAAACCCAAATCAAAATAAAGACACAGGAAGCAAGTGAATTACATTGGCGTAGAAAGTGACTGGAAGTACACACGCGGCTGCTCAAGACATTTAAAGGTATCACTGTTGTGTCCGGATCTCGTTTGATCACAATGTACACACAACAAGATATCACACGATGAAACACGAGGAACACACGTACCTCAACGGCCACACTATTCGTCTAGCCTCACGAGTACGATCACAGCACAGATTGTATGCCACGAGCACTAGTAGCCTTCTCCCGGCTACGTAAACAAGAACACAGTTAGTGCACAGCGAACGTGTACTCGACACACAGGAAGAAAGTCAATTTACAAGTTTTAATCTGATGCTTATATGTGACTCAAAATAGCAACGATTAATGCAATAAAAAGATTATGCCAATCAAGTACAGTTAGCAAAGTTCGATCGACCATAAGTCACGGAGTTAGCGAATTTCAATCGATCACGGATCAGACGGACGGAGTGAATGTCTCCGTATGACGCGATATGATTGATTATTTTCCGCGAGATTGGTATTGATTAGAGATGTTCCGAATTGCATACACTCGAAAAATAGTCAGTTTTAGGTAAAAATAGTCTTTTTACCTAACAATCACTCAGTGCCTGCAAGCTTTGATTGAGCCAGTCACCTGGTCCCCAAATGAGAAATTTAATTCTGCTTATATTTCCAAGGTCATTGATTGGAGTTTTCCTGTTCTCATGCCAGGTCTTATTCTAATCTACACCAGCCTTCTGCCCAACACTATCTTCATTGGCGAGCATGGCAGACCGAGAAATTCTCTCTGACGATTTGCCTAAAACATGCCGACACGCCAATCGATGGAGATGAAGAAAGAGGCTACGATAAACTGTGTCTAACCTCGTCACTACTCATCCCATTTTCTCTCCAAACAACAGCAATGCAGAGTAAACAGTGAGATTCGAACAGAGATGGTCTTCCTTGGCCCTGTCATCCAAACGACCATATCTCGGCAGCATACAAGAGAATTGATCAGACAGCTGTGCCCCTTTAGGGAAAACCGAATGTTACGGTGGCACCAGAAGTATCTTAAGCCAACCATTGCCAATCGAGTCTTCTCTCTGCTTGCCGACAATTTATCCGTGATAAGCCCGCCAGGTGAGCTGGAGCTGCCAAAAAGGCAAGAGTGATCTTCTTCCTCGAATGCCATCGATTTCAGAGTAAGGATCGAAGATAGATACACCTACTTAATCCAGTAAAAGCATTCCACACTTTTCAGTTGTAAAACGAATGCCAAGCATAGCTACAGTGGACGGATAGTCAAACCACCAGGAAAAGCTTGTGACTTGCCCGAATCTTCATTGAGCAGTACAACTGAAGTTGTATACACCAGGTCAGACAAGCTTCCGTGTAAAGGCCAACAAAGAGTAACGGCCGGATTCGCTTATCTTAAGTAAGACTTATCCACAGTAAGCACCATTGTGATTTCCCGAGCGGGCCTAGAGCCGTGACTTTTCGGGTCGTGAGTCAAACTCCTCAGCCCCAAGCAACATGGCCTGACGGGGAACAGCCTAAGCACATGGCTACATGACCCAAATATGGTTTTGGTTGAACTGATTCCAGATAATTAAGCTTTGTGGGATCAAAATCATTCGAAATTTGACATTCCCCCCGCGTCGTCCCCCCCCCCCCCCCCCCCCTAGCCGCAAAAA